GAAAAGATGAAGCCTCTCCTTCGCCACTTCAGTAGATAAAAATGGACTAGTCAATTAAATACTCCTATTTATTAAAAGACCTTAACAAAAACTGTGGGAAAACATAGATAAGGGAAGAATATGATAACAAAGGGTAAGATATACCGTGTGTGATTGGCCTTATTCACATAATTTGTGATAATCAGAAGACAAAAATATTCCAAGGACAAAAATAGAGGTATTGAATATAGTTGTTTAAAAACAGCCGAATACGATCCCATACCATAATCGTATCCCGCAACAGAGCATTTGTAATCACTAAAGATTTCAGCACATATATGTATGTATGTATGTATATGTATGATTCATTCAAAATTCATATTAGAAGATCAGTGCAAATATACGACAAAGCCACTTCTAGATAATAATGATAGAAAGATAGCGGAATGAGTGATATTAACCATAAAACATCTCGTACGAACGTGATATACAACAGGCGGCAAAATAACTCGAACAACAAGTTTAAAAGATATAAAATTCATTGTATGCATAAAACATGAAAAATTAACTAAAAATAGATATTCTTTGAGTTGTAATTCTAATGAATTAAGAAAAAAATAAGTACAGGCCACAACGCTAAAAATATGATTATCAAATATAAACGAGCCGCGAGGAAAATACACTAAACCATAACATAACGATGAATGAAAGTTTATTAAACAAATAAACTAGTTGAGACAGAGATTAAGTGAAGGTAGTCTTACGGTGCCACCTCCAGAAGTACATTCTTCTATAGTCCCTGCTGCATCAAAGTTACCTTGTCGACGATACAAGGCGGCCAGGTTTTTCAGAGTCGTAAATACAGTGGAGCTAATTGCCAAAAAAATAAATTGTAATTAGTAGCAAAGCATAAAATTGTAAGTAAAAAAATACATTTATAGATATATATATATAGGAAAAAATTACTTATCAAGCTTTGTTGCACGCATCCACATGCCATGATGAGGATTATTAGTATCTCTCATTACTGAAGGAGGCAATCTACCAGCTTGGCGCTCCTCTGCAAGCATCCATATAGGTTTATTTGTGTCCGAAATTTGACCAAACTCATTTTCGTGGGCTCGAGTCAATACTTCTTTGTAAAGTTCCTCGGCTTCTTTGTATTTGCCCTGCTTAAGATAGGCAGATGCCTACAGGCGAAATGAAGAAAACAAGTGCGTTATGAAACAGAAGGCTAACGGAAAACAATAAA